GTGGGGGCCGCCGCACCCCCACGCGTGTCCGCGCAAGCCCGCGGGGGCCGGCCCGGGGCTGGGCGTTGCATTTGCGGGGCGGGGGAGCCTCCTGCTGGAGAGAGGGCGAGGGGAAGGCGCAGGCTGCAGGCAGCAGCATCATTTTTTTTTTAAACACTGTCTTCTCAGCCATCCAGGCTGCAGCCCTACCCCGTCCTCCCCTCCCCTCTCTGCCTCCAGAAGCTGAGGCTTTGGCAGAAAACGGGAAATATCACACCCATCATAAGGTGCAGCGCGTGGGTCGGCACCCCCAGGCACCCCCCGGCCTTTGGGGGCAGCTCACTGGTGGAGCGTGGAGCGTGCCGCAAGCAGGGGCAGAGGAACCACTTCATCTGGGCTGTGGGCTCTGACAGACGAGCTCGGGCGCTCTGCCAACACATCCATGGCGTTCCCGCTCCCAGATGGCTGCTCTGTCCCTCTGCCAGGAGCTGCCATGCTTCCTAGCTGAGCAGGAGGAGGGACGTCTGCCTGGGCTTCAGCCACCACGAGTTGCTGCCGGCCTCCCTGTGCTCTCAGGTGAGAGGGTGGACGATAAAGCCACGCTGTGGAGATGCAGATGCCCAGAGGAGCGCTGTGGTAGCCTGCAGCAGAGGGTGACCCAGGCCCACGAAGGTGGGGATGCTCCGCCAGGGGCTCGCCGGCAGCTTGTTTACACTGGGGTTCAGAGGCTGAGGATGTTTTTGAGGATTTTTTTTGCATATTGCAAAATTACACCCTCACTTACTGACCACTGATTTCCTACGGCTTATCCATGATAAATGCACCAACCCGCTAGATTTCTTTTGGGCTGTGAAGTCCCTTCATTCCCGCTGGGATGCCCCCAGACCCAATCTCCCTGTGTCACAGAACTGCCTTCTCAGAGTGGTTTTTCCAGAATGGCAGCCAGCGCAGACAGCTGCAGCTCCCCTTCGGGCACCCTCAAGCATGCCGCGCAAAGCTTGCTTTCCTTCCCAGCAGGGTTTGAGTATCACGGGACAGAAGGGACCCTGGGTTGTACAAACTATTGCACAGTGCAAATCTGGATAAATTGTTTTTGAATCCTGAGTGTTCTCCATTGACTGTGATGCGTTTGAGGGTCATCTCCTTGATTCACAGGAGTACAACTTGCCTGATTCCTTTGGGAGGAAAAAAGCCCCACAACAGAGCGTAGCACAGCACAGCTTTATTTCCATATTTTGACCAGAAATGAATCCCATATACAGTAGCGAGGAGTCTGATGTAACACAAGCCCTAAGAATGTGCTTGCATCCTGCAATTAATTGCCTCACACCCCTTGCTATTTATAGCCCCGATGCCATTCCCAGCAGCTCGGCGCTGCGTTACTTCTGCGGCGCGACGCGAGGCGATGCAAGTGCGCTGCATCCCGCCAGATCTGCAGCACCGGCGGCAGCTGTGTTTTGTGTGTGCAGCTCACATAGCAACTGTGCACAGCTGCCCGCCAAGGAAAACCAGCCCCGCTCACCCGCTCCCCTGTCTGGTTATTAAATGAAAGCAGAGAACAAAGCAGCAGGCAGGGAGGGAGACGCGTGGGGAAGAGCAAGACTAGATTCCTTGGCTAGCCATACCCAAAATCTCCCTCTGAAGGCAGCCCGGGGTTTGTTTTGGTGTGGAGGGCTCTGCCCTTGGAGCAGAGCTGGTGGGACGGGGATCTCCAGGCTGTGGTGCCAACTGGCTGACGTGGGCTGGGAGGGGAAAAATAATTCCCGGCGTTGCTGATAAAGCCACGTTAAATCACATGTGGTTTTCCGGCTGTGAGCCAGCTTGCTGCTCCTCCATCGTGAGCAGCAAGAAGGTGGGTGCATGGGAGCATGGAGGTACGGGGGCCTGGGGGAGCTGGGTGCTATCTAGCACATGGCTGCTGCCTTCCTGGGTGAATTCCAGCTTAGGGCCCCAACCGATTTGGCACGTCGATGCCTCAAACACAGCCCGAGAGAGGCTCCCCATGCCGGCGGCACCGGCCAGCAAGCACAAAATGTGGGCCAGGATGGGGGCAGGCTGGGCCCCCGTGGCGGGGCTGCAGCTTGAGCCAGGATTTGGTCTTCCTGTGGGGAATTCTGTCTTCTGCTGCCTTTTGCATCTACTGGCAAATTGTTAAGTCTCTTAAATTTCTTTTAGGCAGGATTTTTACTGTGCTGCTGGTAAGCAGCAGACCTATGCTGGATGGCATGACAATCCCTGGGGCTTTGCCACGGTCCCCCGCTCCCAGGGCCACAGAACGGCGACCGAGCGGGCGAGGGAAGAGCAGCCGGACGACCCCGCGCATCGGTGGTGCAATTCCCACCGAGACATGGTGGAGCCGTCACCTTTTAAAGCTATTTTAACACATCATGCCCAGCATCTGGGGTGAGGCTGCAGCTCAGCCTCCTCGATGTAGAGGCATTTACCTCCCACACAGCCTTCTGATCAAAAGAAGCCAAAAGATAACAAGGATCAGAGGAGTGACTGGGGCTGGAAGCGGTGCTACGGAGGCCAGGCTGCCCCGTGGGTCCCTCCCTGCTACAGCCTCTGCCTCCTGTGAATGCCAAAGTCTGCAGCAGCCGCCTTCAGGAAGAAACAATCCCCAAGTTTCACACATCAGGAAATGCCAGTTTTACGCAGCCTGTTAGAAAACATGTACGACACAGTCATCAGATTCGTTTTATTAAAAAACTTGCAATAAAATTCCTTGGAATTCACCATCTTAACTTTGAGAGTTGCAATATTTTACTAGTACATAATAACACAGTCTCACATATTTACATTATAATCCTCTATATAACAAAAATAGCCGTGTTGTACTACTGAATAATGCTTCCAAATATTAGCCTCAACATTTCAGTACTTCCTCCAGCTGAGTCACTGTCCATGCTCTTTAGCATTTACAGTATATAACAAAGCAAGAAGGAAAAAAAAAAAAAAAAAGTGTGTGCCTCTTGGTTTCAGGCAAATCCCTTTAAGATGGCAGTTCTCCGACTCCCACATTTTTCAAGAGAGATAAAGTGCATTGGAAGGGAAGATGTATACTTTATAAAATATCAGCAAAGCATTAAAGTGTATTTGCAATACTGTACAAAAAGTAATGCTAGGAAAAAAAAAAAAAAGGCTTGCTTCACAAACTGCTACTGCACTGTTTTGGCAGCAAGTCACAGGTAGGAGCGGGGGCAAAACCAAAACATTTGAAAGCAATATGCTAAAATATTTCATTTTTTATAAAGATCCCAGAGGCTCAGCTGGCTGGAGGTAAGATTCAGTGTTCTGCATGTTCTGTGTGTGTGTGTTAAGAAGAGGTGTTTGTGGTTTGTTTTTTTATTAAAATCATCGGAGCTGGGAATCAATGGTCTTGGACCCGTGGTGTGAGCTGCAAGAGCACAAGCTCAGCAGGGCTCTGTGGGAGGTGCTGTTTGGGACTTTCTTGCTGGAGGACGCTGGTGGCCGAAGGAAAAGACACAGCTTGAGCTGGGGCAGCATCTTGGTGGAGAGACCCACAGGACAGGATATTTTGTTTGATGAAGAAGCAGGGAGCAGGAGCCCGACCTATGAGCTGCTTGCAGATCTGCTGGGTGCCTTTTTTTCCCACATGTGTAAGACATGACAACAGATGGAGCACCCCAAGTTTCCCTTTCAGGTTATGATTATATTTCCTTTATCTCTCACTTCCACAGAAGTCTTGATGCTCAGGAGCATTTCCCTTCCTTCCCTGCCTTTTCTCTATTACTGCTGTAATTCTTTGTGTTGACTTGACTTTGAGCTTGTCATGTGACAACAAATTATTACATAGCAACAGCTGCAAAC